TTCCTCTTTTTCTTTTTCTCGTCTTCAGTGGGGAAGGTGGGGAGAAAGAATTATTTTAGATGCTGTCTTTGAGATGACTTCAGGTTACCAAGTGAAATGAATGACAACACATAGAAAATATGCTGCTGTGGTCCAAGGAGTAACTTGATTCTTAGGGTGATGACTGACAATCTAAATAAACAATTACGAAGATGCCTAATACTATTTTATAACTGAATTGTATTGGTTCCTTGCTTAATATATTAATAATTTCACATTGTAACTATGAAACCCTGAAATACAATGTAAAGGTCATATTTATTTATCCGTTAAGCATCAAGGGCCTCCTATGAACCAGGCAATGAATACACCATGGTTCCTGCCCTCAAGGGTGTTACACTCTGGTCAAGAGATAAAGACGTGCAATAAAGTGTTAAAAGCATTATGACTGATGCTGTTTGGCTGTGACCCAAAGGAAGGAATAATCAATTTGCGGAGAGGCAATGAGATTAAAAAGGGTCCCGTGGAAGAGGTGTCACTTCAGCTAAGGCCTCCCAAAGAAGCAGGCAATTTACCAGAGGAAGCCCGAAGGCATGGAAGCATGTTCTGAGAGCTGTGGGTGGTTTGGTGTGGCCAGATGGCAGACTTGTTTGATTTTACGTACAACGGGGAGCTTACTGAAAAAATTTGGCTGGCAAGTTATCAGATTTGCATTAAAGGGAAACTACCTTGGCAGAAGATTCTTCAAACTACTTCATGAATGACGAATCCTGATATGGCAGCTTGTATTTTCCTAAAGACAATCATAACAATCTATCCCATTGAATATGCTCTTACAATGTGACTTTGATATCCCCTCACTTAAAACCAGGGAATTTTTGTGACTGTTTTAACCAATAGAGGATAGTGAAAAATGAAGCTCTGTGACTTAAAAGCCTAGGTCATACAATGGATGCTGCTGCTCTGAGGACCAAAACTTGGAAAGTCTTCTTTTCTTGCTTGGAATATGAAGAAAAAAAGGAAGCTCAGGTGTGGGTGGGTACACTGTATGGAGTATATAGTGTATAATGTTTGCCTGAAAGTAACCCTGTTCAACTCTGGTGGAAAGTTATATCTGAGCAGAAGTGTTAGCACCAGCAGTGGTGTGAAAATGGAAGGCTGAGAAGAGAGGTTGTAAGAATAAATCAGGAGCCATTCTCAGAGCAAAATGTCGACAAGTCTTCCAACAAGGCAATCGAGGACTTTAGATACAATCTTCAGCAGGTAATAATCTAACTTGTTCTGAATTTTATCAATGTAGCTCACATTTCATTATACCTAAAGACCTTACAATATGGTCAAGAAATCAATGTTAATTGGAGAAATCATGGGTCATTAATGAGAATGGAGTTGATATGCTGGAGATTGGCTCATATTTTTAGTTTGGTATAATTTTTTAACAATTTTGATATTTTAATAACATTTAGTTTAGAAAACTTTTAGTTTGGAGTAATTTTAGATTTACGTAAGAGACACAGAGAGTACAGATTTCCTATACACTCTTCACTCAGTTTCTCTCTAAAGTTAACAGCTTACATAACCATGGTAATTTGTCAAAGCTGGTACATTAATACCGGCCCATTACTACTAACTAAACAATAAACCCTAACTGGATTTCAGCAGTTTTCCCACTAGTCTCTTTTCTGGTTCCAGGATCCAATCCAGGACCCATTTGGTTGTCATGTCTCCTCCCATCTGTGATTATCTTCAGTCTTTCCTTGCTTTTTGTGACCATGGCAGTTTCATTTTGTAGAATATTCATCAATGTAAGACTGCTTTTCTCTTAATTCGACTGTGGCTGTGTGATTTGGGAAACAATACCACAGAGGTAAAGTGCTGCTCTCATCACGCATCAGCAGATACATGTCAACATGACCTATCACTGTTGATGGTAAGTTTGATCATTTGGTTAAGCTAGTCTGCCAGGTCTCTCCACTATAGTTACTTTTCCCTTTCCGTATTTGTCTTTTGAAGCCAGTCACTAAAGAAGGGAATTCAGCTCCACTTCCTGGGAAGTGGTATCTACACTATTATTCAGAATACTATAAGGAAGATTTTTCTTTTTTCCATTTATTCAATTATTTCTATCAGTATGAAGTTACATATAATGGGGCCTGTGGGGCATAGTTAGGTCTAGCGTCCTTATAAAATATGAGACTGCGAAGTTAGTCTCTCCTGGTATGTGAGAACACAGCAAGAAGGTGCCATCTATGAGCCAGAAAGTGGGCCCTCATTGGACATTGAATTTGCCTTAACCTTGGACTTCCCAGCACCCAGAACTGAGAAATAAATTTTTGTTGTTCATAAATCTAGTCTATGGGTATTTTGTTACAGCAGTCTGAATGGACCAACAGTGTTATTTTCTTGCTCAAAATATTCCAGCTTTGGCCATTGGGAGTTTTGGGGTTGGTTCCTGTATCTTTTTAACATACCCCCATCTTTTTGCTTTTCAAACACTTCTTTGCTTTCTGGCACTACAAATGTTCCAAGTTCATCTTGTATTATCCCTTTTCAGCTATTGGAGAATGGCATTTAGAAACCAAGGTCTGAGTACTGGTGTGCTTGTTGCTACCGGGGTGTTATTACTTCTAAGCCCTCTCAGCAGACATAATTAGGAAATATGTTTGTATACTAACCTAGCTATGGACACATATTGGCCCACGTTATTTTGTCTCACAAAGAAAATGAATGCCAAATATTAGACTAGTGGGCCTGGAGGTGGTCCCGGTCTAAGACCCAGAAGAGACGATTAACTGTATTAAAAACTCATGAACACCAAGAAGTGTTTGTAGATTCACAAGGGCAAATAATATTAGACTTAACTTTTTCCCTACTTCTTGTAGGAGTGGAGCAGAGAGATGCAGTTCATAATGTATTTGGATTTTTATTGAAGCATCTGACAAAATCTTATTGATAATATAGATTAAAATTCTTACAGATAATATATAAAAATGCAGGCTGGTAAATTATAGACAAACACAGCTGACTGTGCACTTTTATTCAAAAGATGCTGCTTAACACATTAACATAAACTCAATATCCAGTACCGTCTAGTACAATGGTAGGTTCTCAATACAGTCATGCACTGCATAATGATGTTTTGGTCAACGACGGTCTGCATGTAGGATGGTAGTTCCGTAAGATTATAATACCATATTTTTACTGTACCTTTTTTATGTGCAGATACACAAATACTTACCAATGTGTTAAAATTGCCTAGAGTATTCAGTACAATAACATGCTGTATAGGTTTGCAGCTTTAGAGCAAGAGGCTATAGTACCATCTAGGTTTACGTTAAGCACACTCTGTGATGTTTGTTTCACAAAATGATCAATTGAATCAAACAACAGGAAATTATTAGGAATAGTTTTAAAATTCTCCACTTACTTCAGTGTGTCTAAGAATACCTGGAGTGAAAAATTTGGATACTTGGCCCCACTTCCAGAACCTTTAAAAATACATCTAGGGGGTAACCCAGGCATCTACATTTTCAACACAAACCTTTAGGTGATTCTGATGGTGGAGATACTCTTATCATGCGTTGAATAAGAAGCAAACAGCCAGAGTCAACTACAGAATTTGTGGGACCAGTACAAAATGAACATGCAGGTCCCTTGTTCAAAAATTACTAAGTCAGTGACAGCAGACCATTAAATTGTGGTGCCCTGTGAGAACACATAGCTTGCACAACCATGAAGCCATTTATTACACCCTTAGGTAATTATTTGCCTACCTCCCTCACTGGATTAAAGCTCTATTATTTGGGAAAGGAACTAAATTTACTTGTGTGACTCTAGAGCAGCACCATCCAATAGAACTTTCTGAAGTGATAAAAATGCTTTATACCTGTGCTGTCCAATTTGGTAGCCATCACCCACATGCGGTTATTGAGCCCCAAAAAGTGACTAGTATAACCAAGAAAATGGAATTTTAAATTTTATTTAATTTACATTTAAATAGCCACATGTAACTCATGGCTACCACATTGAACAACTGTGCTCTAGAGAGCAGTTGGTCAAAGTTATACTAACTCTAGAATATAAAACATTCTAATCTGAAAAAAAAAAAAGAAACAGCTGTTTGGTAGGGTGATGAATTTCCTTCATGAGGTCACTGAAGGTACCCAGCTTTCTGTGGGATTGAGAATCATGTAGGGGTAGCTGTTTGGACTGGAAGGAGCCCTATACTCATGAGGCCTAGTAAATAATGAAGGTTCCCTCCTCAGAAGTTCTAAATCAATGCCCAGGAAAAACCACTCCAACTTGGTGCCACATGGGATATTTAGAACTTTGAAGCCAGGCATAGTGAATCATGCCTGTAACCATAGCACTCTGGGAGGATCGCTTGAGCTCAGGAGTTCCAGATCAGCCCGATCAAGAGCAAAACCCCATCTCTATTAAAAACAGAAAAACCAGCCAGGTGTCGTGGCATGTGCCTGTAGTCCCAACTACTCAGGAGGCTGAGTCAAGAGGATTACTTGAACCCAGGAGTTTGAGGTTGCAGTGAGTTAAGATGATGCCACAGCACTCTACCCAAGGTGACAGAGTGAGACTCTGTCTCAAAAACAAAACAAAACCAAACTTTGTACTCCAAGAGATATAAGATAGTCCCTTCGTGAGACGGTCAAGACAACACTAGCTCTGTTAGCTCTCCCCACTCCTAACCATTAAGAACCAAATTCCAGTCATGAGACCAGTCTATCTTGGTCTCAACTTAGAAGGACCCAGCTACTGAGCTAAATTCAACAAATTTTCACTGTGCACTTACTCTAGGAGAGCACTATACAGCAAGACCACGAGGGCTGTCTATAATGCTGACCAGTAAGATTTATTTGAGAAATAAAAGGTATTTGAATGCAGACTCTGGCATCAGACTACTGAAATAAAGTAACTTCCTCAATGACTAAAAGCATTCTTCGAAAATTCAGTCAGGATTACTTGTGGTCATGTCTGAGAAAACTTACTTATTAAGGTCTTTCAGTGAAAAAATTTTTTAAAAATCTGTTAAATTTGATTAACAAACACTTGCCATGCTATTTTTTCAATATCTAAAGTACCTTATATATCTCTACTGATCCCCTGAAGTAAAGCAATCACCTGCCACTATGGGTTTGTGCCAGAAAACTCAGGGAACTGGTCAAAGTAAACCTTTTTAACTTAAAAAGTCTTATTAAATTTCAATTTCAGAGTATAATAAAATCAGTCCTTGGTTGGCAGATAATCCTTTAACATTTATGATGTCATATAAATTCTCATGTTAGGACACCTGATGACCAAAATATTTTCTGTCAATGCAGACATAATTGTTCACTTGCTTATCTATTTTTAAAATAACCAAAATATGAGATATAAAAGGACTCCATTTTAAGGTTACAAAGCACTTGTTAATAATGTTCAACTAGAATGCCTACCAACATTTCTATTGACTGACTCAAGATGTTCAGGCAGCTACCTAAGAGGCTGAGGAGGGAGGACAGCTTGATCTCAGGAGTTCAAGACCAGCCTGAGCAACATAGTGAGACTCTGTCTCTTACAAAAAAAAAAAAAATTGTTCAGATAGTGTTGTAAATCTGGTCAGTACTTACAGCTCTTGACAGCTTTACTGATGGATTCCACCAGTTTCTTCAGAGCCTTCTGGTCCATGTTGAGTATGGCTTCAACACACGGCAGACTTCCCAGATAGTCTAGCTCCAAACCTGGGTATCGTGAGCTAACGCTGATTCCACAATTCACTACTTCAATCCCAACACAGAATGTAACCATGGCAACATTGCAGCAACCAAACACAGAGGTTCTCAAGTAACTGGAAAAATATGCAACAATGGTTGCTATCACTCAGTACAGATACAGTAATTTCATTAAGGTTATAGCGATCTGAAACATTATAGCAATTCCAATATTTATCTTTTCTTTGGGGCTAAATACCACTTAAAGTGGTGTTTGATATTATTGCCATTTATATTCTGTCAGCACAAATTCTACAGGTGAAAACATTCAAATACATAACAACTAAATAAGACTATAGAGACTTTATTCTTTGAATTGAAATAATTTCCCAGGCTATAAGCAGCTCTCTCAAATGTTGTAATCTCCCATACACTCTAACCAAGAACCCTTTCATGATATCCAAACAGAGGCTTCAATCTGGGAGCTTCCCACTTTTACCCCTCCAACTTAGACCTGATTGACTGGAAGCAAAACATGATGTGCCTATGCCAAAGCTGGCCAAAATGTCAACTGTTCTAACTCTTGTCTATTGTAAAATCACAGCAGAGAAATCATTTTCTAGTCTATGTCTGCTGGCAAAAAAGGGTACTAAAATGATTTTTAGAATTTAGGATACTATATTCTTACTAAATGTTTAATAAAATATAAAAATAAGGCAAATACAATTGAAAAGAAAAAAAAAGCTTTCCCCAAAACTTTTCTTAAAGAAATACCAGATGAGTGTTCATATATTTTAAGTTAAAAAAAAAAGCGGCAAAATTTTTTAAAGCGTATAACCAGTGACTTAAGTGTGAATAGCTGTTCTCACTTGGTTTCCCTGAGGCTAGTCTATGGTTCCCTATAAAATCAAAGAAAATTAAACAACAGGTTTTGAGAACATCTTGAATGAAGGAATATGAACTTGTATCTTAGTTAAAATAAATTCAGGACGCGCTTATGGTACTTAAAACATCTAAATATACAAAGGGCAACCAAAGGAATCCAAAACCACCACAAAGGTAGCACTGGTATAAAGCCAATTTTTCTATCCAGACAACTCATCAATTTCTGGCAGTTATCCCAGCACCATTATCCAAATAACATGCTTTGTGTTCATAAAATTGGTATAGAGTTATTCAAGAAAAAGGGTGGTTTGGTGGAGGGAGGAAGAGATGTTATTAACTTGCACACTGTAATTATTTTGGAATTAACATAACTGATAATATTACCCTGTCAAATTTTCTTTCCGTACCTCATTAGAAGACTGTTAAGGCTGCCATCAGAGGAATAATGAAAAAGGTGTTGCCCAGACAGTCAACACAGTCAGGAAAGAATAAAATTTTTTACCAAATCATGCTTTTCTTCAGTCTAAAAAAATGAATGGTTGCTGTTTCATGGGATATAATTGTCATATACTGGACTAGTCTGTAAAGCAACACTTCTATGTTCATAGCAAAACTGATCAAAAAATACCTGATAAATTTATCTTTCAGTATTTTCACGAATAATAATTCTGAGAAACTTTCTTTGGATACAAAATGCCCTGCAAACTTCTGTGTACTCAAGAGCATATAAATATCTTTTAATAGGAAATAGTATGCAGCTTTAAGCAAAAAATTTAAAGAAATGTACCAAGAAATGTGTTCTCTTTACAGCTAAAATCTTAGGGATATTTCTTATCTGTCTACTATTTAACATCCAGGAGTGTTTCTCATCTTTATAACCTTACTTGCGACTCACAGGGAGCTGATAAGAACACAGCTATTTTTAGGTAAAATAGCTATTTATTCAGCCTGTTGTCATGCCAACATGTTTTGTGCATATACCACTACAATTAGCACACCCTCTGTAACAGGCAAAATTGTACATGAAATTATATTTCGTGTTACTCGATTATATAAAACTGTAAAACAAAAATGATTTATCAATTCCTTTTACCATTCCTAGTAAACAATTCAGCAGGAGATATGAGGCACAAAATCTTAGTAAAATATGACATAGGAAGAGCAATAATGTAACTCTCACTTAAATTTAACTTGTCATAATCAGTTATTAATATACAAAGACAACAAACGTTTAAAACATTATATTTACTAAGATTCTGGTAACAGCTTTATATAACAAGACACAGCATACCAGGCCTGCCACTCAACTTGTTTATGGTAAGTCTCAGCTTCAATATGAAGCTGTTTAAAAAAAAAAAAAAAATCAAAACCCTGCTTTTTACATGCTAAATATCTTGGCAAGTACATCGTTAAACATAGCAATGAACTTAAAACAGTAAAGTAAGGAGTTAACAAAAGCTAAACATCGCAGCCTTAACAAAATTCATACAAAAAATAAACTATCACCGGTTACATAAAATTTTCCTGACTGGTTAAAACTTAACAGTATAAAACACGCATTTTAGAATCTTTAGCTATCAAGTTCAAAATGTACCAGTGTCTATTTGAAACGATTCCTCTCCAAAGCCAAAGTATAATCAAAATGAATTCAAATGACATAACACATTCTAATGCTGAAAAACATTCAGTATTATTGAAGTGGAGGTAAATCCCAGAGCTTCTGGGGCTTTCTCATGCTGCAAAGGGCTGTTTCTCTGATTCACTTGAAGCAGCATACGACAGACTCCAAGGATGCCACTAAGCCCAGTACAGGGCAAGACTGCTGGTACCCAACTCTGACCTCCCCATAAAACATGGCTACTGTGTCCACAAACATAGGATGTGTGAGGATCGAAGGCACGCTATTCTGCTAGCTAAAGAGATAGCAACCCCCCACCCCCCCAAAGCTCCTTCCCCAGGTAAATAAAAAGTATATAAGGGGAAAAAATTAAAATACACTTATCTACAGAGTAAGGATTTTGAAATATCAATGTAATCCCTACTTTAAAAATTTTAACTAGAGTCATCTGGTCATTTCTGATTACATCTTAAAGATGTACCCAGATTCAATTTCTGCTGATTTATCATTGGACATTTCTAGTCAAAAATATTAATTTTATTCCCAAATATCTTAACCACTAGTACAACTGCAGTATATTATCTCCCAGAGTTATCAAGCACTGGAAGAGAAAAAATAGATGTTCAAGCGGCAGGCAGTAATTATGGCCCTTTCACACAGCGGAATCTGAGTGGCTACTGAATAGTCCAGGAATAATTCTAAAAACAAGAAAATTCATGCATTTTAGTAAATATGTCGTAATTTTCACAGTTGAAATTTCCTTAGACATTGCACTTTCTTTTATAAGGGAATCCTGATTTTTTTCTTAATGTTACGGTGAATCAGGACTTGAACTAGCAGCCTTCTTTTTCTTCTTCTTACTGTGTTTCTTATGTTTCTTTTTCTTTTTTGTTTTTTCCTGTAAAGACAATTCTATGTTAGACATTACTACATGAAAATATGCAAATTAAAAATATCTTTACCATGGTACTTATAAGCTACTACATAGTTATTTCAAACAATCCACACAACCAACTAAACTACGCAAAACATTTCTCAAAAGTCTCAAAACCAGTATCATATGAGGACTAAGAGAGTTCTTGCTGATTTTCAAAAAGATAGGGAAAAACTTGTTAGCATGATATCATAGCTTCTAACAAAATTTCCTGCAGAAAATAAATTTAATTGAATCATGCTACCAATCATTATATTTTGTTGTATTTTTTCTAAAAGTAAAGTAATTGCAGTTACTGTAAAGGAGTAACCACAGCAAAATATAATTGTTTTTATAAAATGACAGTTTTCAGAGAGAACAGAAATATTAAATCTATTTTTTTAAGAGATGGAGTCTTGCTATGTTGCCCATAAATCTACTATTTTTAAGTAAATAGAAACACAGATACTGTGTATTGCTCAGATTGACAGCATTACTTTAATTATCAAATTAACATCAACTAATTAAGTACAAAATATCGACATATAGTTGAAAAGTCTATTTTGCTAAGTAAAACACATGCTTGATTTTTAGAGGAACATAGCACTGAAGCCTAGCACAAGTAGTTAAATTATGAGTGGATAAAAGGGACCTGGAGTTTTGCTGAATTCTGACTCTTATGACTGCTTCTGCTATAGAAGGCAGAACTTTTATAATCACAAATACTTGGAAAGGTGCTTCCAAATGAGAACTACTGCCAGTGTTGATATTCAGGAGAAGAAAATGAAAAGCAAGAAAGGAGAGGAGACATACAACGGTGGTAACAGCAGAGCCACCTATCTGTTAGGACTATCTCCGACCTCTTCTCTCTCTCAAACATCTCTACTGCTTTATGGCACTCAGCTTTTATCATTCTTTTTTCAGTACATGCTTAATATATAGGGAATTTTACAAAAAGTTCAAAATCTTATAATTTGGGCTTTTAAAACTAAGTTTTGGGTATAGGCTACTTTTTCATAAAAGGACAGCTGAACACTCTCTTCTTAAAATACTTTTCTTCTTAGCTTCCATGACACCTTATTCTGCTGGTTTTCTTCTATCACAAAGACCCCTTTCATTTCCTTTGCTGGCTCTTCTTCCTCTGCTGGACCTTTCCAGGCTTTCTGCCCTTCTCTACCACATGCTCTCCCAGTCACACACTTTGAATTCCACTTAAACACTGATGATGCCCAGAACTTTATATCCAGTCCTATTCTTTGACCTCAGGACTGTAAGTGCCTCCTTAATAGCTCTACCTGAATGTTTAGTAGGCTATCTAAAATTATCATAACAAACTGCTTTATTTTTCTCTCCAAATCCTCTTAACCATCTTAGTATAAATGGCACCACTAATTTGTCATTTTGCTTAAGTTAGAGAATCTAAGCTATCTTTGATTCTCCTCTTTAACTCCACCCTACATCCAAAGCACCAAGCAAGTCCTACCGTCTAAGTCCAAAACATATCTCAAATCCTTCCATGCCAGTTCAACTCCATTACTACCACTGTAGTAAAAAGCATGATTCCTCATTCATGTTCACTCATCTCCTGGCCAAAGCATTTTAAAAACGTAAAACATTCAGGTCATCTTTTAAAAAAACCCTCAAAACAGCTTTTCATAACATTCAGATTAAAACTCAAATGCTCTGCTGTGTGATAAGGCCTTCTGCCTACTTCCCACCCCAATCATGTGTTATTCCTCTTTACCCACTAGGCATAGGCCACACTAATCTTCTCTCAGTTCCTCAACATATCACCCTAAGTCCCACGATAGGCCTTAGCTCCTCTCTTTCCCTTGGATATTCTTTCCTTTGATCTTCACGTGGTTGCCTCTTTTTTGTAAATCAGATTTCAGCTTAATTTTACTTCCCCAGAGAGGTTTTTTCTAGCCCCCTCTACCACAGTCACTCTTTGACATATCACACTCTTCTCTATTTTGTACTCCATTACATCTCTAAGACCTAGAACAGTGCCTGCATAGAGATGCTGAATAAACACATACTAGCCAAAAGAATGGAACAGTGAGGGAATGCAAATACTAATTTGGTGTCTAAATTAATTAATCTGAACCATAAACCAAAGCCGTCTCCACCCAAATTACTTCCCCATTCGGAAAAAGTGTCTCTCTTATTTGTTACTTTGGTCTTGCACATAAAATGTTATTTCTGAATCATACATTACCAGATGAACCTTCTTATCAGAGAAGGTCCCTCATTTTAAGAGCTAGGGAAATTCTGGCAAGGAGTTACTCCCAACTATTATGCTGTTCTCATTTCCTTTTACCTCTCCTAAGAAAATGCCTTCAAAGGCCACAGCCCACACTTGTACTGAGCATCTCTAAATTGCTTTGCTGATATGGTCTGCATTACTCTTTGATAATCTCTGTTAACTATTTTAGTTGGTCTGCTTCTCATTTGGATACTACTTCCCTTTTCCTTAATTCTCCTCTTCCTTCTTCTTTCCTACTTCTCAATTTGCATAATAGCAGAGTTGGCTTTAAAAACTATCAGAAGAATCACCTTCCCGCTTATTTTTTATTGCAGCTAGTGCTTAGGGAGGCCTTTTCTGTTATTACCACGTTTGGCAGATCTGGAAGTAAATCCTATCAAAAACTGATGAAATCATCATACTTTAATCTCATATTTCATATTATAGCTTAAGAAAGTCAAACAGAAGTTTAAGCGTCTATTTCTAATAGTAAAATACTGAAATGGAAACAGGAAATGTTTGCTACCTGGGTATTTCTTCCTTTTTCTTGAGCCAATTAGACTTTTTTCTAACCATTAAGTGACGCTGTTGAACATACCACCTTTCCTAGTAAGTATTTGTTTGGTCCCAGTAAATCCAATCATGCTTTACCATGACTCATTTTTCACTAAACCAAAACAGCTATACTGTTGTCACATAAAAACAATGAGATACTTGCTGTTGCTTTTTCTCGTTCTTCACTGCTTTTCTTCTTTTTTGCTCGTATCTAAAAAGTTTAAATTTTGTGGAGAAGATAAACATGTAATTTGTACTCAAGGCATTTTTCTTTCATTCTCTAACATACCCTGCATCTCCAAAATTTATATGTAAAAAACATTTTGACAATTAAAAGACATTTCAACGAGGTTTCAATAAAAATCCTATAAAGGAAAGAAAATTAAGATTTTAAATCTTTAGATGGCTTCTCTTATATTCCCTTTCTGCACCTAAAAAAAACCCCAGTCTGGTACAGCAGGAAAAAAAAAACAACCCAATAACATGAGCTCTGAAATAAGACAGACCAACGTCTGAATCCTACCTCACTTTCATCATCTGTAAAATGGAGATACAACATCCACCCTTCAAGGGGAAGGGCCTGGAATATAATAGTAGGCATTTCTCTTACTCCTATAGTGCTCATCAAATGGTAGCTATACATATAGTGTACTTGGTATAAACCAATTGTTACTTAGAATCCTCTTAAGTAACAATTATCGCCTCATTTATATTTTACTCCAATCTTTTTAAGTGTTGTACAATGGATTTAAATTAAATTGAAAGTTGCTAAGCCTCATGTATATTACCTGTTAAGTCCAAATGTAAGACATTTTATATTAAACTTGATAATATATAGCAAATATAATTAATATAGAGTATAAAAGTTGGCTAAATGATGAATTATGTGGTTTGACTGCTAAGTGACTACATATAAATACATGATACCAATACATAAAAATGTAATTAATAATATAAGGAAGCATAAGGACTGAAGGAATAGAACATATAAGCATTAGACAATATTAGCTTTCAATAGGGAAAGCAGCCTTCTTTAGAGAGGACTTAGAAAATTATTCAAATTGTTTTTCTTGTCATTACAATGATTGGGGGTGACAACAGCTGTTCTGAATCCGTATTTAGCCAGGCAGAGACAAGGGATGCTGTCATGCAACAACCAGGACAGCCCTGTACATTCTATGTGACTTCTGAATAGTCTGTTAAACATGCAAGTAATGAATCTGTTTATAATACAGGAAGTACACTTACTATAAATATAAACAAAGTATTTTGTGCAGGATTTTAAGGTGTAATGCATGTCCCAAAAGTGCAAATATTATATAAATAGAGGGAAGATTATATTTTATTTTGTTTATAGCTTTACTAAATCTTGTCTACCATTCTGAAAAATGTCATTGAGGGCAATGCCTTTGTATGGTTTTTCACGGGTATATGCAATGCACCTACTACAGCCTGCATTTTGTTTTGTCTTAAGATAGTATGTCTTCTGGGGTTATAACACTCAAGCATTTGTATGGTGAAATATAATTTCATAAAATTACATGTTATCATTTACTTTTATTTCTTCTTCATATTTCTGTTAGGGGATAGTAATATAAAAATTTGTGTAGATTGTCTGTATTAGCTACAGATTCCATTTCAGGGGGGCATTACAAAATAGTACTATAAAATGGGGCAACAGGTCTGACAGGACTGAGGGCCACTGTTGCAGACCAACTAAAATGAAATCAGAAATCAGACAGGCACAAACAAAAAGGCAGGACTCAGGGAGTAGGGAGATGAGAAATAGAGCAGACAGAGACAGAGCTTGGCAGGGCTGATATAAGAGGAGGTCAACACTAAAAGGAGACAAAAATCAGGAAAATCAGCTCTTGTGGCCATCTGCTACCACCGCTTGTAACCAAGGGCCAGCCCTCAACTTTTTTGGATTACACTGTTGGGGGTTGACTATGTTGATCTCTAATGAAAGCTACAGCTTTAAAAATTGGTGACTGAAGGGGAATCTTGGGTTAGATTTTACTGTAACACCAAGAATTATGCAAACTTTATCCACTATTTACTCTATCCCAGATATAATGTAACACCTTTCATAATTTATTGTCTCATCTAGTTCTCACAATAAAGTAATATGATAGGTTCCTATTTTACAGATGAGGAAACCAAGGCCAAGAGAGAAATACTGTAAAGATGGTAACTTACACTACTAAAATTAACTAAGAATGAATTCTAATTGCAGTAGAGTACAATATCTAAGATAGTGACTGTTAGAGCTCAAAAAGACTATAAAGATGACCTTATTCTCCTTCCTCATTTTATAGACAGGAAAAACTGAGGTCTTGCCAACTTTTCTCTTCTACCTCATCACCTTTCTACTCCTCCAACAGTCACTCAAACAAAACCAAATAATAACAAGAATAATATCAACTGAATTGAGATAGTATGTACAATGTTCTATTTTAACTATGTAAGGGAATGCTGAATTTCAATACACTATACATTATACAGCCTTTTCATGTAATCAGTATGGCAGTACAATAAAAAGAAATTATCAGAAGAGTAAAAGTATTTAGATTGGAAAGGTATGTGGAAATATGATTATCAAAATAAAAGTCATAATTATCTTCTGGAAAAATATAAGATTTATTCCGAAATGAAATATCTTTCGTTTTTTTTATCATACTAGAAAAACGAGTAAATCAAATATTTATGAAGTTTTCTTTTCACACACATGTGGTCTTCTGGATCCTTGAATGTTGCCTTTTGATTGAATCCAAACTTTACAGAACAAATCCAAGATTTGTTCTGTGACTTTTGGATTTGGTTGAGGAGCTGCACTCAGGGATCTGGAGGGCCACATGTAGCCTTAAGGCTACAGGTTCCCCACCCCTGAACGGATTTGATCATATACTTACCTCCTCAATATAATCTGATTCTGATAAGGACTCAGATGATACAGGTTTATCTTCAGGATACATCTTTCTTTTTTTGCTGAGCCCTTTAATGTCCTGTGAAAAATAAACACAGGTATCTTGACTCAAAAACATGTAATATACTATGCCATACAAATTGTACATTTCTAAGTTCTTTTTAAATAATTCTTCTGATTATCACAAAAATTACCCATTTTTATTCTACAAATATCTAAAAATGGTGACATTTGCCAGGATTCAAGTCTTTAATTCCACTGAAACAATGCTTTTATTAAATAACTTGAAGAGTTATAAGAGTTCTCTTATATTGAAGAGAAATAAATACATATCCATTTAGATGTAATATCCTCCTTATTTTCTTTTTTTTCTTTTCTTTTTGAGACAGAGTCTCACTTTGTTGCCCTGGCTAGGGTGAGTGCCGTGGCGTCAGCCTAGCTCACAGCAACCTCAAACTCCTGGGCTCAAGCAATCCTACTGCCTCAGCCTCCCAAGTAGCTGGGACTACAGGCATGCGCCACCATGCCCGGCTAACTCTTTCTATATATTTTTAGCTGTCCAATTAATTTCTTTCTATTTTTGGTAGAGACGGGATCTCGCTCTCTTGCTCAGGCTGGTCTCGAACTCCTAAGTTCAAACAATCCGCCTGCCTCGGCCTCCCAGAGTGCTAGGATTACAGGTGTGAGCCACCGCGCCCGGCCTATCCTCCTTATTTTCTTAAATTATACAAGATAAAACTTTTAAAGAGTCATAAGAAAGCATGTAGATGGTATAAGGATGGGTCCTTTGCATTCTAAATCTTTTTGCTCCTACCCAGGGTTGGATCAGATAGGCCTATTGCTGCAGAAAAGAAAATCAATGGGCAATTATTTAAAAGAATCTCTCCACAGTAATTCCTTTAATGCATTTAAAGTGTTAAAGTCACATTAAAAAAATATTAATCTCTAAGAATTTTTAATGTTGAAAAAAATGAATAACTCCGGGGGAAGAAGATGGGATTAACGTCGGGAAGAGTACTTACGGACTTAAATATATGTTTTAAATAGTAAAGAAAAATGAAAACATCTGAAACAAGTATGGCAAAATGTTAAGATTTATTAGAGCTGCATAGTGGATATGCTGATTATCATTTTATTATTTTCCATAAACACCTTCTTTCTTTATTTTTTATTTTAGAGACAGTGTCTTGCTCTTCACCCAGGCTGGAGAGCAGTGGCACAACCATAGCTCACTGCAGCCTCCAAATCCTGAGCTCAAGCAATTGTCCTGCCTTAGCTTCCCAAATAGTCAGGACTATTGGTGCAGGCCACCACACACAGCTATTTAAAAAAAATTTTGTAGAGATGGGGGTCTTGCTATGTTGCCTAGGTTGGCCTTGAACTCCTGGCTTCAAGCGATCCTCCCACCTCAATCTCCCAAAGTGCTGGGATTACAGGTGTGAGCCACCACATCCAGCTCCATATACCTTTTCTGTGTGTCTGAAGTAGTTCATAATAACAAAAACAACAAAACCACACGATTGAAAAAATGCTTACCACCTAATCTTACATAGAAAAAACAAGATATAAAACTTCTGCATAGCATGAGTCCAATTTTAAAGACATAAACCAAAAAATCATGTAGAAAATAAAACTAATAGTGATGATCTCTTTAAGAGTTAAATTATAGGTGATTTTCTTTGTTTCTGCAAACAGCATTATTATTTTGGTTGAAATGAAAAATGTTCATTGAAAGAAAATGCACCCAAATCCCACTACCAGAGATTAAACATCATTAAGACTTTGGAAACATCTGTGTGTATACTTACAATTTTCCACAAATACTTGTTGTTTGGAACCTGAACTTCTCACCCAATATCTTTCCATGCTAGCTACATCATTATTATGGACACTTTTGACGGTCATTGAAGTATATGTCACAATTTACTTAACCTATCTCCTCCTGGAGGGAGGGCATACGGTTCTTTGCTATTTAAAACAAAGTTGAGGCTGGGCGCAGTGGCTCACGCCTGTAATCCTAGCACTCTTGGAAGCCAAGGCAGGCAGATCGTTTGAGCTCAAGAGTTCAAGACCAGCCTGAGCAAGACCCCGTCTCTCTACTAAAAATAGAAAGAAATTAATCGGACAACTAAAAATATATAGAAAAAATTAGCCGGGCATGGTGGCGCATGCCTGTAGTCCCAGCTACTCGGGAACCTGAGGAAGAAGGATTGCTTGAGCCCAGGAGTTTGAGGTTGCTGTGAGCTAGGCTGACACCACGGCACTCTAGCCCAGGCAACAGAGTGAGAGTCTGTCTCAAAAAAAAAAAAACAAAAAAAAACAAAACAAAGTTGAAATGCAGTGAAGGGTATGTGAGTGAAAAATCTTTATCTAATAATAGCTAAATCAAAGACCAAAGTAACCTTCACACAAATGATATTCTTGCTCTTTTACTACCTCCAAAATTGTTTATTTATTACCCATTTATGAATCACACTTTACCAGGAAACTTCTTTATCATTTTCCTTAACAGTCATATCAAACTCAGATAACTGGAATATAGTTTGTATTTTCTTTTAGAATTGTCTAAATGTATATTTTGCCAATTTGTGTATGTGTGGCATTCTTTCTTCCTTAATTAATTTAATTAAGCTTTAGTCTTATGTATTCCTAGAAGTTTTTCTTAGTCTCATAATATTCAAACTGAGTTATAGTTTAATTTTTGCAATTTATCTCTTTTTGCCATTCAGAATTTGAAATATGTGGTTAAAAGTTTCTGAGTTTTTCTCATTCATTGCTGGAGGGAACGCAAAATGTTACAACTACTTTGGAAGACAGTTTGGCAGTTTCTTATGGAACTAAACATATTCCTACCATACCATTCATCAATCACACTTCTTGGTATTTTCACAAATGAGTTGAAAACTTAATATCCAAACAAAATCTGCATAGTGATGTGTATAGCAGCTTTTTTCACAGTTTCCAAAACTTGGAAGCAATCAAGATGTCCTTCAGTAGGTGAATGGATAAATAAACTGTGGTATATAAAGAAAATGGAATATTATTCAGTGCTAAAAGAAATGAGCTATCAAGCCATGAAAAGACATGGAAGTACTTTAAATGCATATTGCTAAGTGAAAGAAGCCAATCTGAAAAAAGGCTCCACACTGTATTATTACAATGGTATGACATTCTGTAAAAGGCAAAACTATGGAGACAATGAAAAGAGGTTGGTGGGAGAGAGGGATTGATAGGAGGTTCACAGAGGATTTTTAGGGCAGTGAAACTCTTTTGTATGACACTTTAGTTGTGGATATATGTCATTACACACTGCCAAATTACATAGAATGTACAATACTGAGAGTGAACCCTAATGTAAACTAAGGGCTTTGGGTGATTATGATGTGTCAATGTAGGTTCATTAATTGTAACACATGTACAACTCTGGTGCAGACTGCTGACTGGGGGATGGGAGTGTTATGATATATGGAGTCAGGGGGTATACTGAAACTCTACACTTTTCAATTTTGTTGTGAATGTAAACTGCTCTAAAACCTATTGAAAAAAAGTTTTGAGGCATAAGCGTTCCCCACTCCAAAATTATAAAAATATTCACCCTTTCTCTAGTTGCATTTTCATATATTTAAATCTCTGACCTATCTGGAATTTATTTGGTTTTAAGGAGTGTCTAAGTTTATAATTTCCAAATGGTTATTCGTCCCAAGAAGCACCACTTTTATCGTATATTAAATTCTACAAATATTTAAATTTTTACCTGGACTATATACTATTCCATTGTTTTGTCTATTCCTATACCAGTACCACAGTGTATTAGTAAAAACATTTTTAAAATGTTTTAACTTCTAGCAGGGCAACTCATATCCAGGAACATGTTATGATTCTTCATTTATTCAATCTTCATATATATCTCTGAATAGACACGTATAGTTTTCTTCAAATAAGTCTTGCTCACTTCTTTAAAATTTTCATATAGATTTTTGGTTATTATAAATGGGATATTTTCTTCCATTGTATTTTCTAATTGGGCATTTTATTATCTAGTACTTTCAGAATAATTTAAAATAATAATGGAGTTAAAAACAATGATTCATCATGTGACTTAAAATTACAGCCTTTATATGATTATAATAGACACATAGCAAGGTTAAGAGATGCCACAGATCAAAAAATGCCAATCAGGTGGATACAAGATTAGTATCCAAGATATATAACTCTTACAAATCAGAAAGATCAAAAACAATCAATCCAACAGAAAAACAGGCAAAGACAATGACCAGGCAATGCACAGAAAATGAAATAGCAAATGAAGAAGCTTAACCATCTGTACACATTAAATTGGCAAAAATGAAGTCTCCCAATGTTGACAAGTGTGCGAAACAAGGGTACCTTCATAAACTACTAGCAAGAATGCAAATTAATGGTAAGAACTTTGGTGAGCAAAATATAGACAAGTTAAATATATGCACTTCCTAGAACCTAGAAATTACAGTTGGAGGAATAACTTAGAAAATTAACAATAACTTGTGGAAAAGGAAAAATGGATAAGAAATATTCACTGCAGCACTGTTTATATTACTGAAAAATGAAAACAATCTAGATGTGCCTAAATAAGAGAATGGAGAAATAATTTGTGGTGAATTAGTATCATGGAGTACTTACTATAAGCAAAAGAAATGAAAGTGAAATTATCAACAAGGATAAATGTCAACAGTAATGTTGAGTGAAAAAAACAAGTTTCAGAAGGAAATACGATGATACCATTTTGAAAATACACAATATCCTATCTTATTTATGAACACATACTAATGTAATGAAAGTATATAAAATGTGGATGGGAAAGACGCACACTAATTTCAGGATCAGCTACTTCAAAGGAAGAGAGACTAAAATAAAACAAGACCTGAAGCCAATGTAAACTGTTAACTCTAGATGATACATATATGAGTATTTGTTTATGATATTATATATGTATATATTACTCTGTACCTAATAAAGTACCTCAAAATCACGGTGCAGTTGTTTTAGTACTACCAAATTCACTTTCACACATATATGTTTTAAAACATGAGAAACTTACGACTTATTTTATAATGGTTTTAAAAATCAGGAATTAGTGTTGAAGTACATCACATCCTTTTGGCAACATCTGAAATAATTATATGGTTTCTTTCCTTTGATGAGTTAATATGGCAAATTATATTAATATATTTCTTATCCTTGAATTCTTAGAATTATGGTTTTTCTGTAGTGTTTTAATGAATTTTTATTTGCAAATTGATATATAAACCACCCCTAGATGTAGACCCAAGAAAAATAAAGACATATGTCCACACAGAAATATATACATGTTTATAAATATGTTTATAGCAGCATTATTTATGACAGCCAAAATGCAGAAACAAAACGAAATGTCTGTCAGTGAATGAATGGATAGACAAGTCACAGTATATATATACACATACACACACACAGGAATATTATTCAGCCATAACAAGGAATGAAGGACCGAGACATGCTACAACTTGAATGAAACTTGAAAATATTATCCTAGCTGAAAGAAGCCAGACGCAAAAGGTCATATATTGTATGACTGCTTTTGTGTGATATCCAGAATAGACAAATCCATAGAGACAGAAAGCAGATTCTAATCTGCTTACCTCTAGTTGCCAGAGGATGAGGGGGAAGGGAGAATAGGAGTATTTAATGGGTATGGGGTGTTTTTATGAGGTGATGAAAAAGTTCTGAAACTAGAGAGAGGCGGTGGTTGCACAACACTGTAAATATCATTAACTACCACTGAACCATAGCTTTAAAGTGGTCAATAGTATATTATGTGAATTTCCCTTCAATTTTTAAAAAATTATATAATGATTTTAAAAAAACTGAGTAAAATATAGTAACACTGGTCTGTAGTTTTCTTTCATGAGTAATTGTTTTCTTTAGGCATTTATTTTTACTAACCAGAAAATATAATTTAAAATGTAAACCAGAAATGGAGGTAGGGTTAAATTCTGTATTAACTACAGATAAGTCATAAGTGAAGATAAAACATCTACTTACAACACTTAAAAGATTTTTTAACATTTACCTATAGCACACTCAATTAGAAACAGAAGTCTGTGTTCTTCAGTTAAAAGGGCCTTCTTTAAAATGACTTGAGAAAACAAAGGAAATGTACAATCTCCATTATTTTGTATTTTTAATCTGAGAGAATCCATTAATCTACACAAATTCAAACTCTCCACAGGAATACTCTTCTGATCTTTTACCTTCAATAATGAATCCCAATTAAAAATGTCCTTAAATCAACACGTGATCCATAAAAGCAAAAGAAATAAATCTCTTAAGAGGGTACACATTACTGTTAATTTAAGTCAATTAAGTTTTCCATGACAGACTATCGTAAGGCCATGTAAAAGTATGTTTACCTTTTCTTTCTCAGTTGCATCCTTTGACTTCTTTTTCTTTTTTAAACTGTCCTAAACAGACATATATATATACATAAATTTTAAATGTAAAGGATACAGCATTATAGAACAAGAACAAAAATACCAAAAAAGTGATTTGTTCTATAACTTAAAAAAAAGTTACTCCAACCCCAGCACATTATTCTGAAAATGTAAGAGAAATGTATGCTATCTATCTATCTATCTATTCGCTTGTAAGCAAACAAGCTTCTTCATTTATCTGGCTGTATATCAAATTTATGTACTCCTAAAACGATAGATATTATCTGTAATACTGTCATGGTTTATCTTAAAATAGGACTTTATGCCATTGCCTATCTTTGTCTGTGATGGTCATATGCACTGGCGTTCTAATTCATATTGTGCCCAGACATCTGCCAATCTGATTTCCCTACTCTCCTCATCAGGTAGGGAGGTGACAATTTCTGCTTTTGAATCCCTTAGTTCTAGCTATTAATCTCCCCAAGCCTCAGTTTCCTTATGGATTAACAAATAACTACTTTCTAGGGCTTTTGAGATTAAACGGTTTAACATATCAAGTGCTTAGAATGGTGCCTAACACATAGTAGGCACTCAATAATTGTTAGCTATCATTATTATGAGACTGGCTCTTCTGCTTTAAAAAACAAAGGGAAAACCAACATTTACTGAGCACTTTCTAGACACCAAATATTTTGCCAGAAGATATCTCAATGGGGCCAGTAGATATCTGCTATAAAATCCAGATAGTTGCTTTGGTTTCCTGAGACTCTAGTACAATGTCAAATAGTGGTCCACAGACACCCGTGTATCAGAATCACACGGGGCATCTGTTGAAAATGTAGACTTCTGAGCCTGATCAGACTGACTAAATCAGACTCTGGAGGCAGAGCCCAAACATCAAATTTTTTACCAAGAACTGCATGCCTTTTTTAAGATCACTGAAGGTTAAGAGCCAAATGTGTCTGACAATTCTGGTTAGTACAGAACTAATTTAGGTACAGTACAATAAAAAGGATACTGGACTAGACATTACAAGATATAAACTCAACCTCCAAATCTAACACTAGCTTAAGTATAATGGTTTTTCTCTGAACTATAACCTCTTTATGAAAACGGGGAAAATAATGGAAGTTGTCATGAACATGTGGAGACATGGAGACATATATATGAAAGTCCTGGAGAATTATCAAATATCACATGTAAAATATTATTAAGCACATCAATTAAGTGGCACAGAACATCAAATTACAAAAATAAGACTGCATCTCATTTCTAAATTGAGAACAACTTAAGACAGGAAGAACTAAAAAAACTTAAATGTCTTTGCTATCCACAATGTTAATAATTTAAATAATTTTACCTTACTGTCTGACTCAGTTTCCGACATGGAGCTTTCAGAAGATTTATGTGAACGGTTCTTCTTTTTCTTTCTCCGTTTTCCTTGTTTCTTATCCTACATAAAACATTTTTTGGAAAATATTGGTTTTCTGTTTCAAAAATATAATTTGTGCATTTTATTAATATCAAACTTTTATCAATGAACAAAACTGAAAGAAAGGACCACCTTGTAAATATATATGTTTATTTAAACTGTAACATGTCACTTTCCTATTTTATAAAAAAAGTCAAGTGATTTGAATCACATGCAATCCCTAGCATCTAGTCAAATAACATGTTAGATTTTTAAATCTGTCTCTTCGACTGATATTTTTAAATGAACAAATTTAAAAATCTAAAAAATATACTATATACCAATATTTAAATATCTAGTTATTTATTCATGTCAGTGCTCTAAATTATGAATAATTAATCAAAACCTCAAACTAAACATTTCTAACAGATATTTCACAATGGGTTTCCTTTTGACATGAAGGAAATTACAGATATTACTTTATAAATCATCATAAGCAAACCTTACCTCATCTTCAGAATCTTCCGAACTGCTGGAAGAATCAGAGCTTGATGAAGATGAATACTTGACCAAGCACAAAACAATTAAAGCTTGTGAGATGCAGGAATTTTTTTCTTTTACTAAGTCTCTTAAATACTTAGTGAAATCAATCTACTGTCTGAGAAACAGATGCCATATTCATAAGACATAAACATTAAAATGTAAAATGTCACACTTGCCCCCCCACATAAAAGCTCTACAAAGTGACAGCATATGTAGTAATAATGGTCATCAATCTTCCTCTTTAAATAGCAACAGAAAAGTTACTAGGTTATAAGGCGGGTGACACTTTCTTATCACAGATAGAACAAAACCATCCATCACAACCAAAGGACCTTCAGGTTCCTTGACTCATTTAGGGTTTTTAATTATCTTAAGTGTACAGGTTAAATAAATTAATTGCTCTTACTTTTTTGTAGGCTTTTAATTATAACACTTAGAAAAATGGAAAACTTTTGCTCACCCTACCAGATTTCTTCTTCTCTTTTTTCTTTCTCTAAATGGAAACAAATAAAAGTACAAGTCTAAACAAGTTGATGTGAGTTTTCAAATGTATCTCTTAATAGTAGTATACAGTATTATAAAAATCCAACTATGAGATTAAGAATAGCAATAAACTAAAAATGGTTTTACCTGTCTTTTTTTGGATGAGCTCTCACTTCCGCTTAACAATTTCTCCCTGTGTTTTTCTAGCTCTTTCTTCCAGTTCTGCAAAAAGTTATAAACACCATCAGAGGCTATCTATCCCCTTCTAATACACCTAATATAGAGAAACAACCACTGCTTCTTTCCTTCTATCCTTTAATTCCTCTCACCTATCTCAGCTTTTAATTACAGTCAAAAGATATCCACGTGCTAATCCTTGACTCTATCACCAAAGGAGCCTCTAATGGCTCTCTTCAAAGAGGATATTAAAGGTTGGAGGTTCTCCACTGTATACTGAGAGGAGCAGTAGGGATTATTCCTGAGGCTAAGACCTTTTTTCTTTTCAACAAAGATGGCTAGATTCTCTTTCTAGTCAGTAACAGTTCAATTAGTCTATGCTGTGGTTGAAATACTATATGTATGTTTGTAATCAAACAAGCAAACATCAGAGGTCCCAGGTTGGTAAACACTTCATGGTGCTGTGAAGTTGGCAGCCCTGGAGAGGGTATAGCAAAGGAGCTCCATGCTGGTTCCCCCATACTTCGTGCTGCGTAGCTCACTGAACCTCAAACTCGTCAGCTCAAGTGATCCTCTTGCTTCAGCCTCCTGACTAGCTGGGGATACAGGCGTGAACCATGATGCCCAGCTCATTTTTCTATTTTTAGTAGAGATGGTGTCTCACTCTTGCTCAGGCTGGTCTCAAACTCCTGAACTCAAGTGATCCTCCTGCCTCGGCCTCCCAGAGAGCTATGATTATAAGCGTGAGCCAGTGCACCTGGCCTGAGTTGTATCTTTTATAACAAACTAGTAATAGCAAGTATTGAAAACAATAACAACAAGAAGCAAACATCACTATGGAAATCCCAGGGTAAGTGGGGAGCACAGGATAAGAACTTAAAATAATTTAGATGATTTAAATTATAAGACAGTTATTCTCTACTTTTTAAAGAAAGCATACATTTACATACAAATATGTATTCAATATAACAATAATACTTCTAAAATACAGAGCCCCCTTAACCAAACTCTTGTTTTATTAAAAAACGAAACATAAGATGATTTCATTTTTACTATAAGAAAAAAGATTAGTCTATTTTTTAAAAAGGAACTTTTTACAAACCTCATTCATTTTTTCTTCAAATTCAGCCAAAGCCTTGGAACCTTTCTTTTTCTTCTCTAGTTGCTCTTTCACTTCTTCCCTTAAAAAGTAGAATATACAAATAAAGTTTCAAGCAATTCAAATTAGATGCATGCTTACAAATAAGGCAAAAAATTTTTCATAAATAAACTTTTCTTAACATTCTCATAGATCTCCATTCCAACGTTGATACATTTCAAATTTCTTTATTCATATCCATGTAAATAATCATAATAAAGCCTATTGACAACACTAATCACTCCTCTTCTAAACATGGATTATAACAGCTAATACATCAAACATCCGAGAGCTTACAACAGGCACCATTTTAAATAAATTTCCATTTAATCCTCACAACAACCCCATGAGAAAATACAGTATGTACCCCCATTTTAGGTCGTAAAGCTGATAGTTTCAGTGTTAGAATGAACTAAGGTCTATCTGATAGAACTATTATATTCCATTACTTAACAGCTCATTTTATAATGAACCTGTGCAGAGATGAGCTGATGTAGCACACCTGACTGCTTATTCTTAGAAAGGCCCACTAACAAGATAGGCCCTAGGTAGGCATCTGGGAACTTGGATTTTGGAGGTTTCTTACCATTCCCTGATCAGAGCAGCTCACTGTGCCTAAGCTGTACAAATAATGTAGTTTAGGCTAAATACCTGCTTTTTTTCGGGGAATCTGGACTTTGGGTACATGACAGAGGCTGATCAGCCCTCAGTAAAACTCCTAGGAACTAATCTCTAACGAGCTTCCATTGGTTGGCAGTATCTCACATGTGTTATCATTACTCCTAGGTAAGGGAATTAAGTACATCTTACATGATTCCACTAGGAGAGGACCCTTTGAAGCCTGAGCCTAGTCTCCCCTGGACTTTCCTCCATGTGCCTTTTCCCTTTGCTGATTGTGCTTGGTATCCTTTCACTGTAATAAATCTTACCATGAGTATGACTATCTGCTGAGATGCCTGTGAGTCCTTTTATGAATTCTCCAACCTGAGGGTGGCTGTCTTGAAGACATCTGACACACATGTAATATACTTGCTTGGGCACTTCCCTTTAAAGTTCATTCCCTCTCCCCATTTTAAAGATAAAGTATACTTTGTTTGGAATAATTTATTTTCTGGTATGCTGTGATGGTTAACAACAGCGCTCATGCACACTGGTGGACAAGGCTTACTTCCTACTCAACTCAAAGGAAGGAGTCCCTATTATACATAAGCACACCTTTCAACCACAGTTGCCCAGCTTTCAGGGGCACTTAGAAGGATTCTGAAGCTAACAGCTCTGGAGTTTGTCATATGTCACCTTAGGAGTATGGTACTAATAACAAGGAAGACATACTAAAAAATAATAAGGCCCAGGCTCTGATGCTTTATTTATAAGGAATCAGAGGCACTCAATGAGTTTTTTTAATTCACTGAAAATCCAGTAGATAAAACTAGAAACATGGTTGAACGTTATTATTCCTAACACCTGGTTACACCTCAATAAAGGGCAACATTATTCAAACCCATTATTTTAAATAGCTTAGAACACTGCAAGGTTAAGGTTTTTTAGCGGATAGAGAAGAGACTGGTATGAAACGGTTACCTGGCAGTGCTTCAGCTACATTGGCTGGTGGGTTCTCAAATGTTTGTTTTATAGTTGTACATTGTGTTTGATATGTTCAAAAGAAAGCACATATCAAATATTACAAGTTATCTGGCAATTGCTTGGCAATAAATAAAAGTTTTAAGAGTAAACTGTAAAAAGTTTATAAAAAGCTTATAAATAGGTAAACTGTTTCACAAATACCAGGTAGGCCTTGGTCGATTCAAATAATCCTGGATCGTTGGCCCTGAAGACTGGATTGGACCCCTTGATCTGGCCATTGCTATTGGGTTCATATAGGCCTTGAAGAAAGAACAAAAATTAATTCCATTAAAGTAACCATTAAAAATACAAAAAGCTCACTTACTCTTCAAGTAATCTTTGTTATAAACGCATGAATAATTTGACTAACCAACTTTTAATTACAAAAAAATAATTTAACCCTCCATTAATCCTTGAAAGTTTCGGAGATAAGAAATATCACTATTTCATAGAAAATGTGTTTTTTTCCAGAGATTTAATGAAATAATAATGATACCTCTTACCTATTGATGGCTTTATAGTACATTGTCCTAAAGCACAATAACCCTGTGATGGTGATAACACTATGCTCACTGGCAAATTAAGAAACTCAATTTCAAAAAAGTTAAAAAAAAGATCTAATTCTAAATTCATTGCTAATTCCATTATCTCTTCTATTCCAGGAAATACTATGCCATACTGAAGGCAATTTTATTCACAAATTATTAACAGCGAAAATTTAAATTAGGTTGGGCATGGTGGTTTATGCCATAATCCCAGTACTTCAGGAGGCCAAGGTAGGAGGATTGCTTGAGCCTAGAAGTTCAACACCAGCCTGGGCAACATAGTGAGATCCTGTCTCTGCAAAAAAATTTAAAAATTAGCCAGACATGCACCTATAGTCTAGCTATTTGGGAGGCTGAGG